TTTTTTCCTTCTAAAATTTTTCTTTGGGTTTGACATATTCAAAATTAATTTAAATTAAAAGGAAGGGGAATACATGGAACAAAAAAATTAGTTTTAAATGGATTATAGGCCTAAATGTAAGAGCCAATACTATTTTAAAAATCTATAAAACTTTTAGAAGAAAACATAGGAGTAAATCTTTGTGATTTTGGGTTAGGCAAAGGCTTGTTAGATATGACAACAAAAGCACAAGTGACCAAAGAAAAATAGATAAACTGGGCTTCACAAAAGACCACATCAAATTAAGAAGGTTTTATGCTGCAAAGGATACCACCAAGAAAGTGAAAAGTCAGCCCACAGAACTGGGACAAAATATGTAAATCATATAACTGATAAGGCCCTTGATCTAGAATATATGAAGAATTCTTATAACTCAATAATTAAAAAATAAATATACTAGTTAGAAAATAGCAAAGATCTAAATAGACCTTCTCCAAAGAAGATATACAAATGGGCAATAAGCACGTTAAAGATGCTCAACGTCATTAGCCATTAGGGAAATACAAATCAAAACTACAATGAGATACCACTTCACACCCACTAGGATGGCTATAATCAAAAGACAAACACACAGGATATGGAGAATTTGGAACCCTCATAATTGTTGGTGGGATTGTAAAATGGTGCACGCTCTTTGGAAAACAGTCTGGCTCCTAAAAATGTTAAACAGAGTTACCATATGACCTAGCAATTCCATTCCTAGATATATATCCAAAAGAAATGAAAGCATATGTCCATACAAGTTCTACAAACAAATATTCATAACAGCATTATTCATAATAGCCAAAAAGCAGAAGTACCCAGATGTCTATCAACCGGTGAATGTATAAATAAAACGCAGTCTATCTATACAATGGAATATTATTTATTCACAAAAAGGAATGAAGTACTGATACATGCAACAACATGGATGAAGTTAGAAAATATTATGCTAAGTGAAAAGAAGCCAGTCACAAAAGACCACATGAATCCATTTCTATGAAATGTCCAGAATAAGCAAATCTATGAGACAGTAAGTAGATTAGTGGTTGCCCAGGGCTGGGGGTGGAAGGAATGGGGGAGTGACAGTTAATGAGTATGGGTTTCTTTTGGGGGTGATAAAAATGTTCTAAAATTAGATAATGGTAATAGCTGCACAATTCTGTGAATATCCTAAAAACTTTTGAATAGTACTCTTTAGATGGGTGAATTCTATGGTGTGTGAATTATGTTTCAATAAAGCTGTGTGTGTGTGTGTTTTCTTAAGAGTACAATGTAAGGGAAAAAAGGGAGGGAAGCTTAAAATCAAGAGTATCAACCTTCAAAGAAAGTTTGAGGTGACAAAATAGAGAGTGTAATATTTCTATTTTTAGCTTTGATATCCTAACTTTAGCAAGAGCCTAGACTTGAATATTATATTTAGCATTCCATACTCAGACACGGCGGATTTGCCCTTTTCTTCATAAGAACCACCTTTATTGCTTTTGTTTTAAAAATGCATTATATAGAGTACACTAAAAATCAGATTCTCTTATTTACATTTATATGATACCTGTATCCAGTGTCCCCAAAGTGTTATAATAGAATAATAGTTTTCCTTTGCTACAGGTGGTAGCCATGAAAGACTTTGTTCTCTCTATCATGCCACTCGCAAGTATAACAGGCTGTGAGATCAGACTGTCTGGACTCTTCTAGGCAATATGAATTTGGGAGAGGCACTTAACCACAGTTTCCCCATGTGTAAAAGGGGAGTAGAGTAATATTATTTACTCCATAATGCTGTTCTGAGAATTAAAGGAAATGACTCATGCAAGGTATTCAGCACAGTGTCAAGTGCATAGCAAATGCTCAAACTGTAGTCCTTGTTAGTAATTACTATTATAATATAGCAACAGTTAGTAACAGAGACTTGAGATTTAGAAATAGGTAAAAAACAAGTTGTAATGTGGTTGACAACTGAGTATTAGCATCCTAAAAACAAGTGAGGGCCGGAAGGAGGTATAATATTCCATTTCCCAGTTGCATTAACATCAGGCAACTATATTGGATGTTTAATCAAGGTATTTGGATAGTTTTCAGCATTTACTGCTAGAAAACTCTAGAAAGCTTGCTATAGATAAGGCTGTGAAGTTGCACAAGTATTTTTCAGAGAACAATATGTGATTCAAGCATCGCTACAGAGAGCTGATATTTTAAGCTACATTTCTAATCAGTGATATCTTATACCATGTCACCTTACAACTCCTGCCATTCATTTGAATAAGTCTGCAAGAAGTCTCCTTTTCCTTCTCTCTTGAGGTTTATTTGGCCAATATTTTTCCTATTGAGAGTAGCAGGAACTTTTAAATAGTTTTAGACTATTTTAACTTCTCAGAAGAAAGGAAACATTTGCAAAACTAATTACATATAAAATAAAATTGTGAGATGTAAAAGAATTAGCATTTGGAGCTTTATTTGTATACTTTAAAAATGGGCTTTAAGGGCTTCCCTGGTGGCGCAGTGGTTGAGCGTCCGCCTGCTGATGCAGGGGACGCGGGTTCGTGCCCCGGTCCAGGAGGATCCCACATGCCGCGGAGCCGCTGGGCCCGTGAGCCATGGCCGCTGAGCCTGCACGTCCGGAGCCGGTGCTCCGCAACGGTAGAGAGGCCGCAGCAGTGAGAGGCCTACCGCAAAAAAAAAAAAAAAAAAAAAGCTCCTGTATTAACCAAAATTCCAGGAGAGACAAAAGGGAGAGAAGGAAGTTGAAAGTGCTTACAAATTTTTCCCGTTTTCCCCAAACGTTTATTTATATTTTTACGTTATATTAATAGATAAAGTCCCTGAGGAGCATGACTGAAACTCAAAAATTCATAGCCATACAATTTCCCTACATGTAGCATATCTTTAAGTATTCTTGTTGTAAGAGTGCTTGGTGGTCATAAAGATCTGTCTGAGGAAATCAGAGACCTGTACACAGGATAAAAAACAACTAAGGACAGGCCTGCCCCACCCCCCAGACTGTGGTAGGAGTGGGTAACTTACTTAGTCCCTCTGTGCTTCATTTTCCTCACCTTAAAAAGGCAATAATAATACCTTTCTCATAGAGTTGACGTGAGGCTTAAATGAGATCACACATGTAAAGTGCACCAAGTACCTAATAAAATATCAAGTTTTAGCTCCCGACATTGTTGTGGCAGTGGTCAGAAAGGGGTAAGAGGAGGAGGTGTAGCAGATGTCTCAAAGATGCAGATATTAACAGCCCTTGGTAAAGAGAAAGAGGTTGTTAAAGCAGGGAGATCTTCCAAATGGCACTTGCGCTATTTTCAAAGGGGCATGAAGAGTATAGTCAAGCACTCCTTGTCCTTTGTCTTGGTAGGAGCTACAAGAGCCAGAGCTCGTGGAAGGAGGTGGGGTCTCTGTGTGAGATGGGAGTGTGTATGATAGGGACTGAGGCGACAGAGAAATAGGTGACTTTGAGGAATGGGGGCTGGATTTAGAAGTAAGAAAAACACTAGGCTTGCTGCCACATGCTTGTAACACGACTCTTTTATTTTCCCTGTTAAGGAACTGATTTAAATTCTGCTCAGAAATCGATAAGATGCCATTTGGCCATGTGACATACCCTGCCTGACATGCAACAATATTTAAATCTTATTAAATACTGTAAATTAACTTATATTGACTGACTTCTATCAGAAATCAGAGTCTGGATTAAAGAGCTGATGTCAAGAGTCTCAGCGTGGAGTTAGAAGACTGGGTTAACTCCTAGCACTAGCACTTAAAAAGATATGAACGTGGTAAGTCATTTCACCTCTGAAATGATTTCATCTGTGAAATGGGAAAACCACCTACCTAACAAGTTGTTGTCGACATTAAGGTTATTCATAGCACCTGGAACATAGAGATGCATTTTTCTATATTTTGTGTTAATGGAAAAAGGTTTTAAAATTATGATAGTACACTTACAGCGTTACCAAATATGGCTGAATACGCATTGACACTCTATTACATTAATGGACTTTAATATTCTCAACTAATATCAATGCTTTTAGTAATGACAGTTAATTCGCTGATATTATTTTCCTCCCCTCACTGCACCTCTCAGCGGACCACACATTCAGATGCTCTAAAATGTTATTTCTTGAGCACTTTTTACTGACACCCAATCCTTGGCTTGCCGGACACTAAAGGACAATTGGATTGACTCTAGAAAGTGTTTCTACAAACAGTGCCTTTTCGAGGCTTGCCCAGCGTCTGGTTAGTGTTGCAGTGTCAGCAGTTTACTTCAATTAAAGCACTAGTGGCAACAAGGCGTTCTTCACACAAGAAAAGAGCGCAACACTCACATATGATAGTTCAACTTGTCTTTTGGGTTGATTCTGCTGCTCGAGTTCAGTCCCCGCGAGAGGAAGCGTATTCCGCCTCATATTAAACAGAAGAGCCTCAATTCATTATTGGGGCTGCAGGAGGGCGACTCCAGCAACTGATCAGCTAGGGACTTGACACAGAGCGGGTCCTGCCTTCGTGAGGCAAGCGCGGCACCTCAGCAACCCGCCAGCCCTGGAAGTTTGTGAGTCTCCACTTGTAAGACTGGTAGTCACCTTGACCTCCCGGACAGGTGGGGAAAGTTAGCGCTGGGCCAGAGGCGGGACGTAAAAGCGAAGGCTCAGAACTTTCCCGAGCAAAACAAGCCGTCACGTTTTCCTGTTTTCAGCGCAGCTCGAGACCCGGAGAGTTTAAGGGTGGCGAGAGCAGGTGGCAGGGCTCCGCCCACCACCACTCTTCTCCTCCCTCTGCTTGCTGCTCCACTCCCTCGGTGAGGTCCCGCCTCTGAGGCGCGCGCGAAGAGTTGTCGCGCCGTGTGTTCTGGGAATTGTAGTCCTAACGCTGGGAGCCGCCTCGGGAGAGGCGACTTCGGCCTACACACCCCATGGTACCGCGCGGCGCTGGCCGCTCCCGGATGTGTGCCTGGCGCCGGAAGAGAAGACGGCCCCCCTCTCTCGGCCCGGCCATCTTGTGGGAAGAGCTGAAGCAGGCGCTCTTGGCTCGGCGCGGCCCGCTGCAATCCGTGGAGGAACGCGCCGCCGAGCCACCATCATGCCTGGGCACTTACAAGAAGGCTTCGGCTGCGTGGTCACCAACCGATTCGACCAGTTATTTGACGACGAATCGGACCCCTTCGAGGTGTTGAAGGCAGCAGAGAACAAGAAAAAAGAAGCCGGCGGGGGCGGCGTTGGGGGCCCTGGGGCCAAGAGCGCAGCTCAGGCCGCAGCCCAGACAAACTCCAACGCGGCGGGCAAACAGCTGCGTAAAGAGTCCCAGAAAGACCGCAAGAACCCGCTGCCCCCCAACGTCGGCGTGGTTGACAAGAAGGAGGAGACGCAGCCGCCCGTGGCGCTTAAGAAAGAAGGTAAAGCTGTGGTGGAAGGTGGGGGAGACCCGGGATGGAGGGAAGGAGCGAGGGGACTGGCGGCTACCACTGGCTTCTGGAGCTCCGAGGGTCCGCGGGAGACTTGGCCGCCGATTTCTTCGCGTTTCCCCCGCCTGATGAAAGCCAGGTCCTGCGAAGGTGCTGGGAGCGTGGTAGCCACAAGTTCAAACCGCCACCTGCAAGGATCCTGGAGGCACCCCTTCCCGCCTCAGGTTCTGAGCGGAGGAGCGTGGTCGGGATCCTGGGAGGCTGTTGTCTTCCCGCCGGATTCCTTGGCGGGCGAGCGCATGGGCCGAGGTTCGGGGAAGGGAGCTCCTTTTCGGAGCGTTTGTTGTTAACGGGATGGCGGGGCCTCCGCGGCTTCTTCCTGCTCAGAGCTTTCTCTCAGCCCGCCGCTCTGAGGTGCGGTTGTGTCTTTTAGGCTCCTGCCCTGCCGTCTTGTCCCAGGGTGGCGTGGGGTACCCCCGAGAAAAGCTGGGGGTCGGAGTTTCCACCTACGCCCCCCCCACGTTCGAGCCTATCGGATGTTGTGGAGCAAGGTGCCCTTTTAGGTGCTCCCTGTGCTTTATCGTTACCCCCTCGCCCGCACAACTATTGCAAACTTAATAACTTGCTGGAGTGCGTCAGGCTGTTGGGAGGGAGAGAAATTTGGCCACCCTGGATTGAGTAGAAGCGGGAATTTTGAATGAAGATTGGTGATGGCAGGAAATCCTGAAGCTCGTCCTCGGGTCACGATCTTTTTCTCCGGCCGGACCCCCCGCATGCAGTGTTACATGTGGCGTGGCGTGGCCTGGCCTGGGCCTCGTGGTGCAAAGAGTGCCGAGGCTGTCACAGCGTTAGCTGCTGCAGAGCCCTTTGGAGTGCAGCTTTTTCTCCCCATGTGCGTGAAGCATGGTCAGGATTTCATTGGCGGGTAGTAGTTGCTTCCAGGTCACTGTAAACTTCGCAGGATTGTCTTGAACTTGGTTTTTGCTCTCTCACTCGTTTCTGGTTTGTCTTTTGTGATGGATGAAAAAGCAAAACAGTGGGGGATGAGAAAAAGTGTACACGATCCGTAGTAAGTAGGTGTAGGACTTAAGCTTTGAAGCTTAAAGGTTTCCTTTATGTGTTGAAAATTGAAATTTTGCCACGTGCTTCTGAAAGGAGTTCTCATTAGCTTTAGTCGAATTTGATAACATTCAACTAATTTAAATTAAATCAAAACAATTGTGTTAGGTTTTGGTTTAGAATTTTTAGAAAATACAGAGAGAGCTTTGTGAGGCTTGGGGTGAAGAACCTAGGTGGTAAATAAAACAGTTGTATTAAAATTACAGGTTGGGGAGGGAAGCACAAGTTGGAGTATTAGAAAGCATGTATATACATCGTTTAGGCTAAATATTCATTCAGCTAAGTTTTATAGCAATCTGTAGCACAATGTAATAAATCTAATTTCTATGTTAAGGAACACTGGTTTGTGTATTTATTTAAACTGCTCAAGTTTACCTCCTTCATCACACTAATCCAAAGAAAGTACGTGAAAAAATGGAATCTGAAGTGTGTTCACCCCTTTTGAATTTTTGAAACATAAAGCATGGTTTAAACCCCTCATATGTTTTGATCAGAAAGCCCATTTTTGAAATAAGCTCTTAGCGGGAACCTAGTATTTTAAATTACAAAGTTAAAAATTTATTTCATAAATTTATGACCAGGACCGAGTTCAACATTCAGTAGTCTTTCCTTGGGAAAACTTACATTATTACCTATCAACATTTTCCTTAGGTCAGCATTTCAGAGCACACTTAACCTTAAATTGCATAAAACACAAGCCTATAAGAATATTGAATGAAAAAAAATCGTTTTGAGGCCTTACCTCTTAGCAGTCAATTCTGGGCATTGGGGAAGGATAGACCTGTAAACAGAGTCCCTGCCTCTTGTCATGGGATTGATTGTTAACCTGATCATGTGTTCCTTGCCTTTGAATAGAGGTCCTGGCACGATCCTAGACTTGCCTTAGATGTGTGTTTGATGTTTATATTCTTTGAATTTTGTAGTTTGTCTTTTGGCCATTTGAGGAACTTGAGAATTGACACCATCTACTCATTTGTTTTTTTAATGTTAGAAGCCTGGAATCTAGTGAAAATCAAGAGACGCTTGCATTTTTAAATGTCAGTCATTGGGTGGATTTATTTGTAAGTGTTGTAGATTCTGTAAGCCTGATACTGGATATTGGGGTGGGGAAGCAAGCCATTGTTCATTTGGGTGTGTGACTTGGATATTATAAGGACTGGTTCCATAGCTCCACCCTAATACACTACCTCTGATGAAATTTATTTAAAATGCCTTGGTGTAAGATCTAAGATTTCTGGTCTGTCCTGAGAGTATATGGAATGGACCTTAAAATTTCACTGAAGAGTTTGACATTTACCGTTTGACTTTGGCTACCAGCAGCTGAACAATTGGGGGCATCCTGGTGGTGTTACACTTTCTTAGAAAGAACCAGAGTGAACCAACTTAATTTCTTGCGAAACCAATTCCTCAGGTGCTTTTTGACTTTGTCAGAAATTGTGGTTTGGGAATTAGAGCATACCTAAAATATTAGTCATGAATTTAACCATCAATCTACTTATTATCTTTAAGGCTACCAGTAATGCATATTGGTTGCCTTTTTGGCCTCTGACACTAACAGGAAAAAAGTAATGAATGAAGGGGGAAATCAGTAAATGCTTCAGCCATCACTTAGTTTCACAAGTTTCTATTTCTGTGTCTTGCTTAAAAGGGGTCCTTTTGTGTATGTGGTTTTTAAAGATTCTTTGGAAACGAAGATACTTGAAAGGGCAAACCAAAAAAATCTCCATAATAATAAAATAAGTGGACTATTTCCTGTTGGTTGCATAACAGTATGTTTTAAAAGTTAGGTGTGGTATGTATGTATATGTATACATATATATGTATGTAGACTGCAACAGGAGAGGAAAATGGTACTTTTTTGCTGTTAAATAGCTATTTTCAACTATAGAGAAAATTTTTAAAAAATTTTTTATTGAAGTATACTTGATTTACAATGTCAATTTCTGCTGTACAGTGAAATGATTCATCGATTATACATATATACATTCCTTTTTCTAATATATTCTTTTCCATTATGGTTTATCACAGGATATTGAATATATCAATAGTTCCCCATGTTCTACAGTTAAGACCTTGTTATCCATCAGAGATGTAAACTTAAATGCCATTTGTTTTCCTTTCAGTTTTGTAATTTCATAGAATCATCAGTCTTTTTACTGTGTTCTTTTTTCCCCCTCCAGATTATATAAAATAAAATAATGTCTTCACTGGGGTTTTTTGGGGGGTCTTTACCTGGTGATTGTGTTGGTTTGCTTGGTTATTATTTATGAATGGCTAATGGTGTTATCTTTGGTATCTTTAAAACCAAAATGTATCATTTGCTTAAAATTTCTTTAAATTTAGAATTTTAAATTAAGAGACTGGCATCTTGAAAAGTGAGAGAAATAATGGCTACCCAAATGACTTCCAGGTCAGTTATAGAGAATGCTTTAGGGGAAAAAAGTGATTTGGCAAACTGAATGGAAGTTTGAAACAAGTTTATTTAAATAGGAATTTTTCTGAAGTACCTTGTTACACTTTAGAGATGCCCAGTGTTAGCCTTTTTCAGTGGGAAGTGCTAGTTAATGGACTTAAAGAGTAAATTTTTTTTTCTTTTAACAGCCTAGGCCTAGTTTTTTGTGTTGCAAAAAATAATTTGCTTACGTGGTTTTTTTAAAATCATTTTAGGAATAAGACGCGTTGGAAGAAGACCTGATCAACAACTTCAGGGTGAAGGGAAGATAATTGATAGGAGACCAGAAAGGCGACCACCTCGTGAAAGACGATTTGAAAAACCACTTGAAGAAAAGGGTGAAGGAGGAGAATTTTCAGTTGATAGGCAAGATTGTTTCTTAATGTCTTCATGTTTTGTCAGTTATAGAGAGACATCTTAACACAGATAAATTGAGCATAATTGCCAGGAAGCAGTGTAGCTAGTTAATTTTATCAGTTTTTCTAGCGAAACGCCTAAGTGTGTGTGTTGTTGTTCTTAGGACATTTTGGTAACAGTTTTTAGTATTCAAACTTAGATTTCTTGTAATGAAACACTTCAGTTATGAAGGTTACGTGTGTTTATTTTAATTTTTATGTATATTGGTGAATAGCAGTTTTACTAGATTATAATGTGAAATGAGTAACAAGGAAGAAGTATATGCATTAGTAGTAAAGTTTTAGAGAATGTCAAAGTAATTTTCTTACGTTGGGGAGTTTCCTAGTTTTGATTTCCTTTGGGACATGAGCCAGTAAATATGTTCCTGCATCTTTGAGCCTTTGAATTTCCCTTCTTCCTTTTACCAGAAACCTTAGAAGTATATAATATTTTTTTATTTGTTACAGACCGATTATTGACCGGCCTATCCGAGGCCGTGGTGGTCTTGGAAGAGGCCGAGGAGGTCGTGGACGAGGAATGGGCCGGGGAGATGGCTTTGATTCTCGTGGCAAACGTGAATTTGATAGGCATAGTGGAAGTGATAGATCGTAAGTCTTATATTGGTTTTTATTATACTTTTATATTTGAAGCTACTTCTTTAATAAAACAAAATTTGAATTTCTAGAACTAAAGAGTATTATGTTAACTCAGTTTTGTTAGTTCTTTTTCACATTACAGTGGCCTGAAGCATGAGGACAAGCGTGGAGGTAGCGGATCTCACAACTGGGGAACTGTCAAAGATGAATTAACGTTGGTATTCTGGTTTTTTTAAATAAATACTTCTAATAAAATTGATCTTATACCTTACTAGAGGTTTGCCCATTAAATTTTTACTTGTCCCTGGGACAAGGATGGATGCTCTTATCTCAGAGCTACTTCCTTACAAGATAATGAATGCTTTTTTGGATATGTTTGGATTATAATGTATCAAATGACCAGTTTTTCTACATTTCAAAAATATATGGTATTAATTTTTCTTTTAATATGGATATATAGCTTTTATTGAAATCCTATTTTTGAGGTTATTTGGGTATTATGTTATTGTATGTTTCTTATTTAATAGTTCTTATTCTAGCTATTGACCCCTTTGGTGATGACAAAAATTTGAAAAGCCAGTAAGGCTTTATTTTAGAACTAACTGCTGTCATACTACTTTTTGAGTAATGTACTTGAGCTATAACTTGGATCAGTATACATTTTAAAATTATTTTCTCTTAGTGGTCTACTGGGGAGTAAATTTAGTAGGAAAAGACATTGGGAATGTGAGAATTTTAAAATATTTCTGTGAAGACTTTCAGCTACATGTAAATGGACCTAGATGCCTTTTTTTTCTTTCTTTCCTTAGAGAGTCCCCCAAATACATTCAGAAACCAATATCTTATAATTGCAGTGACTTGGAGCAATCAAATGTGACTGAGGAAACACCTGAAGGTGAAGAACATCCAGTTGCGGACACTGAAAATAAGTAAGTGATTTGTGTGTACGGTAGCGGTAATGCTCGAGCATTGAAATGTTTGGGTTTTAACAAGAAAACAACCTGTAGGCTTAAAGCTATTATCTATTTGCTTTTTAAAAGGAGAGACTTTATTGTACTCCATTCCCTCAAATAGTGTTTAGAGGAGTGGTTTACAAATGTATATGTTGGGCTCTAATGGTTTGACAAATAGAAGTGGTTATTTCTATTTGAAGTTACCATTGTCATCTTAAAAAGATACGGAAGATACGTATTTTAGTAAATCCTGTTAACCCTAAGCACAAAAATAGCCGTTTTAACTTGAGAAATATTTGGAACTCATAGTTCAAAGTACTTTGGACTCTATGTAACTATACAAATTTTATTCTAATACAGTTTAAAATGAGAAAACATGACCATTTTAAAATTAGTTTCTCCATCTCCTTGAAGTTTTTTTTTCCATCAACATAGAATTTGGAACATAGCATTATTGGCTTGTTTTAAAATGTGTGAGGAGAGCAAGCACCAGAATATGTTGTCAGTTCACTAGAAGACGGTTTTGAAATTGTTTGTTCAAGGGTGTGGGAGAGTTTTAAAGACTCAAGTTATGCTAGTAGAAATAATTTAATGCCTTCCTCTGGTTTCCATCAATACAAGCAGAAGTTATATGCCAGGCATTTCTTTCGGTATGTGGTTTAAAGTCTTGCATTACAGATTATTTAGGTCAGTAATTCTTAATCAGGGCATATTCAAATCATTTAGGGAGGCAATGCTTTTCTAAACTTTTGTTTTTCTCCAGGAGTTGTTCTTACAGTGAACCACTATTAATGATTGGAAAATCATATTTTGTGGATTTGTTTGAATAAGGAATAATAATCAATTTACTATTGGAGAGAGTAGATAAAAATACATGGTGTTAAGTGATGTTTAGAACTTGGTAATATAAATTAATTTATACGAAACTATGGAGTCTTAATTTTGTGTGGTAAACAATGAAATTGTGATAGGTGAGATAGATGAACCTTACGTAACATTAAGTACTTTACAAAGCTCAACATAAATGTTGTTCCCTTAATGAAGAGTTCATGTTTAACTCACTTTAAGAGTAATCTGGGGGGCTTCCCTGGTGGCGCAGTGGTTGAGAGTCTGCCTGCTGATGCAGGGGACACGGGTTCGTGCCCCGGTCCGGGAGGATCCCACATGCTGCGGAGCAGCTGGGCCCGTGAGCCATGGCCGCTGAGCCTGCGTGTCCGGAGCCTGTGCTCCGCAACGGGAGAGGCCACAACAGTGAGGGGCCCGCGAACCACACCCCCATGCAAAAAAAAGAGTAATCTGACAAGATTATAACTGTTTACCAGAAGGAAAGGATGTTATTGATAGGGTATTGGCAGCAAATCCTTAGCTCAGTTCCCAGGACTAAAAAGGGGGTATTGGGTCTAAAGACCATGATGATGACGTTAGAACAGCCTCTAGTCTTACTCCAGAATAGGGGAGAATCTGAACGTAGTATTATGTCTTGCATATGCAGGTGTAAATTTAAGAAACAGCTTTGGCTGAATTTGATTAGCTTCCTTATGTATAGTTCTAGAGCTTCTGTTTTGTCTCATTTGATCCTTACAATCCTACCCTTGACGGTAGGTGTCATGGTTTCATGATATGATAAAGGTATGCGAGTTCTTTTCTTGGCTGTGGTACAACTTATGCGTAGCCTAGGACCTTTTTTCAGTCTTTAGTTTTCTGATATGTAAACTGACAGGGTTGGACTTTACAGTCTAGATCTCATCAATTCAGTGTAAGCTTGGTCTGGGAAGTTTTAAGATGGGATTTGTCAAACAGTAAAGAGTAGCACAGACAGGAGATATTTGAGCAAGGCTAACTGAATCACCTGCTATCTTTGGAAAGCAGTGCTCCCAAAATAGCAAACAACTTGTTTGGTGACAATTGGAAATTGAGATTAAATAGTGGATTCCTAGGCCCATGCTTTATTTCTGTAAAAAGGGAAAGGGATAATATGTAATAGTTATAGCCTGAGAATTATATTTAGAAATAACTAATTTGGTGTTAAGCATTGAAACCAGTATTTTGTAGAAACTTCCATTACTAGTGAAACTGTAGTCTCCTTTTCATATACCGATTCGTTTGAAAGTTGGAGTATATAACGTTAAGATCTGTAGAAATTAAAGATTTGCCTTAAGTGTTAAAGGATAGGGGAACAGTTCTTTTATATGCTAGAATATGAAACTTGGTTGCTTATGGATGTCCTAGATGATTACCTTCATATATGTTATAAATTATGTATTGTGAAAAATTATGGAAATTTAAAAATGTGTTTTAGGAGAAGTTAGGTTAATGATTTTAATCACATAGTGTAAGTTTTAAAAACAGTAGTATGGTTTTAAAAAATGTGTTCTAGGTTTGATATAGCCAATTCAAGATTGTGTTACTGATAGATGATCATTTAAGAGTTTATGAAGATGAATTGTATGTTCCTTAGTTATCCACGCTTTCAATAATTCAAACATTGGATTCCTGGTCTCTGCCAAGTCACATGTTAGCCACTGGGTTACAAAGAAAACTGTGATTCTCCTGTCCTTGGGTAATCTAGAAGATTACCAACCAGCCAAGGTTAATTTCCTTACTTATAATTGTAAGTTATATGATTTTATAAGCCCCCTTACCACATGTAAAACTTAAAACATTTTCACACAGGGAGAATGAAGTTGAAGAAGTAAAGGAAGAAGGCCCAAAAGAAATGACTTTGGATGAATGGAAGGCTATTCAAAATAAGGACCGGGCAAAAGTAGAATTTAATATCCGAAAACCAAATGAAGGTGCTGATGGGCAGTGGAAGAAGGGATTTGTTCTTCATAAGTCAAAGAGTGAAGAGGTAAAATGAAGTTTTGTGGTGTTTGAAAATGTTCAGATGACTTGAATTGCATTTACAATTTTTGTGTTAAAATTTCACATGGGTAATCTGTTTATAAAGTTTTACATAGGATTATTTGAGGCAGATAAATTGCCCCAAGAGGAAAATAAACTGCATTATCATATAGTCTAAGAAATTATTCTTTCAAATTTGCGTAATATTTTAAAAAATCTTAACTGGGAGTCATTAAGACTTGTATTAGGTTAGGTGGTTTGCATTTTTATGTGGGAAACTGTCTGCGTATGCCATATATAATATCCAGGAATCTTTAGTAAATGGTATTATCCTTCTTTACTGAGGAGTGATGTCTTGTAAAGACCAGAGAATTAATTTATGAGTTTCCTTTCCTTAGGAAACAAGGAAACTAATGAAAATATTTGAGAAAAACGTGTGTGGCTTTTGATTTGGTAGCTTCTATTTAAGCCTTGGGGCACATTCTTAGAGGAAAATCTCACTGCTGTATCCTTTTAGGGTTTGTGTAAGTATGAGATTTTAGTCACAAAGTTAAATTGAAATGTTATGAAGGCAACCTGTAATAAAAAGATTCAATAAAATCCACATTTTAATTTTCTAAACAAAAAAATAGCTGTGAAATAAACTTGGAAATACTTTTAAATAAAATAGAGGTTTGGCGATGATTTTTTTTTTTTTTAACTTTTTTTGTTGTTGTTGTTTGTTTTTGTTTTTGTTTTTTTGCGGTACGCGGGCCTCTCACTGTTGTGGCCTCTCCCGTTGCGGAGCACAGGCTCCGGACGCGCAGGCCCAGCGGCCATGGCTCACGGGCCCAGCTGCTCCGCGGCATGTGGGATCTTCCTGGACCGGGGCACGAACCCGTGTCCCCTGTATCGGCAGGCGGACTCTCAACCACCGTGCCACCAGGGAAGCCCTGGAGATGATTTTTTAAACATTGACTTCATGAAGGTGGTATAAATGAGGATATTGTCAATTCCTGTAAGGAAGAAAAAACATCTTCCTTCATTAGAATGCTTTTGGTTATTTTTTTGTAGTTCTTGCAGACAAAGTTGTTTTGTGTATCTGTGTAAAACAAAGAGAATTCTTTATTTAAAGAACCATGAAAGTTCACTTCGGGGAGATTGTTCATTTGAACTAATTATTAAACTGTTCAGGTTAATGTGAAAGAGGTTTACTTTGGCACCTTGGAGACAATTATTCATGACCTTTTTGGGGTCCCGATGGAACTTTTCTCCAGAATAGGACACATAGATATAAAATGTTTTGATATATTGTATCATTAGTATCATTAATATCCTGAAGCCTCTTCATGCATTTTTTAGACATCAGGTTAGGTGTCCCAGCTTTAAGTATTATTTTACATTGAGCTTTTAAGAAATAACTATTACACAAGGTGATGTATATAATTAGAAATTTTAGAAAATTATAAAATGTGAAATTGGTGGTGAGTAATCTTGAAATCAGGACATTTTCATTATCAAGCCACTTTTGTATGTTTGGACCCTTATAGTTATGCTGCCTTTGTGATGTATGTACATGAAATCCAGCCTTACTGGCATATATGGCCTTATCATTTGAATACAGATTGATCCCAACTTAGAACTTTTTGGTTTTTTGATTTTAAAATGGTGTGAAAACAATGCACATATAGTAGAAACCATAGTTCAAATTTTGAATTTAGATCTCCCAGGCTGAATATGCAGTACTCGCTACTCTTTTGTGATGCTGGGCAGCGGCAGCGAGCTGCAGTTCCCAGTCAGCCTCCTGATTATGAGGGTAAACAACTGATAACACTTAAAACCATTCTGTTTTTCACTTTCAATACTGCATTTAATAAATTATGTGAGATATTTAACAGTTTATTATAAAATAGGCTTTGTGGTTTTGTGTTAGATGATTTTGCTCAACTATAGGCTAATGTAAATGTCCTGAGCACATTTAAGGTAGGCTAGGCCAAACTGATGTTTGGTAAGTTAGGTGTATTAAATGTATTTTGGATTTAAAGATATTCAGGTTTTATCAGGATGCAACACCATTGTAATTTGAGGAAGATCGGTATGATAGGTCTTCAAGTTTGTTGTATACAGTGCTTTAAGTACTTTTTCTCTTTTACTTATCTTCATCTTTCCCTTCATAGTTAGGGAAAGAAAGAAACTTTGAGAAATGGAGAACTGAATTATTGACAGCTGAGACCAGAGCTCTTATTTCCTCATTGTCATACAGTGCTCTAGGAAAAAAACTTTGTAAAAAATTTATCCTACTAGTTAACTTGAAGGTTGCGGATGTAACCTGAACATCCAGACTTCCTCTTTATTATAGTAAAACCTTCAAGATGTTTTCAGTAGTATATCAACTTAAATTTTTTTGCTTCTGTGCTCTGGAAACCTATAAATGCTTTTAATTGATAAATTGATATCATTGCAATAGCTAACGTTTAAAATCAGAGACTTAGTATATATCATTGACTTTAATTTGCTAGTGATTTTGTGGGTTTGCATCTGTGTTTTATGCTCCTTTATAATATTTTAAAAAGAATCTTCTGTTGCCTTTAAAGTTAACCTAAAGGGATGACATTTAGTTTGGGTATTCGATGATTAAAGGAATGAAAATCTGTGTAAAAATACAAAATTTATTTGTACTTAAAAGGTAATTATTAACAGTTGTAATATTACAAGCTATTTAGAAAGAGTGAAATATCTCTTCAGAAAAGAGGATTATATGTGTATTTAGAAAAATCAAAACATACTTTAAATTAGTATGAGAAGTTTCTAACTAGAAGATTAAAACCCATTCACCCCAAGCATACAAAAGAGATCAGACATTAAGCAGTGTAAAATTCTCTGGCCTTTTTTTGCAGAGTCCATTATGTAGCTTAGGATCTGGGTTTCCCAAATATGATGACTTCATTTTTAAGAAGGTTCCTGTGGTAAATTTAAGGCATGGTTTTATTTGGGCACAGCTTTTCAAGGTTCCTTTCTTATGTAACGTTGTGTTTCACTTGAATTTGTAGTTCTCCAATTTATATGGAAGAACACATAGTTAAATATGAACAAAAGCATTTTGAGAAGTTTATATATAATTTCTTTCCCAGGTCATAGTTGGAAGAGTATAGAGCAAAAGTTCTCTTTAAAACTTAAATATTCAATAATGTCTCTAATAGAGATATATACCATCTATCCAAGTCTTCCTCAGAGGTTCACATTGGAATGCTAATCTGAAGGGCATATTTTAAATGTACTTATTCATACTTCACTGCTAAAGATGATGATTCAGTAGGTGTGAGATGGGGCCCAGCCACTTGAATAGTTGTGATTATATCTCTAATCAAGACTTGCTAATATCATCTATAATTTAAAGTTAAGGGAACATGAAATAGAGAAAAGTGAAAGGAATTATTCCTCCTAGATTACTGTAGCTGATCCCAAAGCTTACTTATTACCTGTAGAGGTGTTTCTATATTTTTTCACACAAAGAGCAGGTTGGATTTTTGGTCTTTTTAGGAGAAAACTCATTATTTAGAAGTGTGCAACATTACTTTCCTATTAATCATCCAGTGGCCGTCACTTAAATTTTTAGGCTCATGCTGAAGACTCGGTTATGGATCACCATTTCCGGAAGCCAGCAAATGATATAACGTCTCAGCTGGAGATCAATTTTGGAGACCTTGGCCGCCCAGGACGTGGTGGCAGGGGAGGACGAGGTGGCCGTGGGCGTGGTGGACGTCCAAACCGTGGCATCAGGACTGACAAGGTAGTTTTAAGGCTTCTTTTACCCTTTTAAGTAATTCGAGGACCTCTTTCCATATATCACTGCCCTAGGTCCTTTTGGGGACATAAGTCGAAGAAGAAAAAGGTTGACATGCATGCCTTTAAGAAATTGCATTTTAGGTTATATTTTTTGTTAAAAGCACTTACGTGACTGAATAGTGCTGCCAGTAGTTAAGTTTACCACCCTTCATCAAGTACTTATCTGGTGCCAGTTATGGTACTGTGCTAAAACAAAAACAAACAAACAAAAACCCCACCATTTTACAGAAGATGAAATTCAGGTGAAGGGAATCAAGGTAATTCTTGGCCTTTGGTAAGGTCTGCCTGAAATGCCAAATACTTACTTTGCCTTGACAAATCTTCACTGCTTTTTAGGGCTCAGCTTAATAAAACCTTTGTTTCCTTTGTATAATTTTGTGGCATTGACTGATTGTTTTTTGTTCATGAGAGCTGTTCTGTAAGTTGGGATTCATTTGTGTCCCATTTTCTGTAATCTCCATTGCCTTGTACTAAGTGTGACAAAAAAACAAATTTCTTCTGAAATACGTTGATAGAAGCCCTAGTAATTGGTAGATTTGAAATGATCTGTCGGATGCCAAAGTCCATGGTTTTAATGACTAGATGTTACTAAAGTATTAGAGATAACTTGGGTTAGTTTATTGTCTCTTATGGTCTACCTAGGAAACAACCATAATGTCCTCCTGAATTCTCAACACCTGATATGCAAATTGGGGGACCCATCTGCTTGATTGAGTCCGCCAATGTTTGATTATAGTGGTAACTTAATATCCTAGATTTTATGGTCACCCATAACAATGTAGTGATTTTTTATTTCTTTCTGTGACATGGGTTCTTTCTAAAGGCATTGTGTATATGGATCTTTTCAATACTTTTTTGTTTTGTAAAAATTTGTATTTTGACTGTAAATAGCCATGAATGTGCTGCTTCAATAATTGTAATTGGTTTCTTAGCCTGCTGTCACATTGCTGCCGTTCTTATTTAGCAAGTGGGGAAAATAAAAGGATACTGAACAACTGAGTAAGAATCCACATACATACCTTGTGTGAATCTACTTGTGTGAATCTACTTGTGTGATTTATTAGAAAAATAACCCATGCTGTTACTAGGGAATTTTCTGAGATCTTGATAGAAATTTAGGACAAGGCTTATTGCAAATATTTGTAGTCCTATTCTTTTCTTTTTTTTAATTGGAGTATAGTTGGTTTACAATGTTGTGTTAGTTTCTGGTGTACAGCAGAGTGAATCAGTTATACATATATCCACTCATTTTTAGATTCTTTTCCCATATAGGTCATTACAGAGTATTGAGTAGAGTTTCCTGTGCTATACAGTAGGTCCTTATTAGGTATCTGTTTTATATATAGTAGTGTATATATGCCAATCCCAATCTCTCCCCAACTGTAGTCCTATTCTGATCCATAATTTTGCCTTTCAAAAGTAAAAGCTTTGACATATTTTACTTATTGTAATAAGACTAAGTTTTTTTCAGAATTCTGTGTCTAAATGTAGACACTGGGAATATATTAATAAGATTTGAAAATCTTTAATTTTGCTTCTGTTTCTTTTTCAGTCAAGTGCTTCTGCTCCTGATGTGGATGACCCAGAGGCATTCCCAGCTCTGGCTTAACTGGATGCCATAAGACAACCCTGGTTCCTTGTGGACCCTCCTCTTTGAGGCTTGCATGCTTAAGGATCCCAAACGACTAAGAAATTTAAAAAAAAAAAAAAAAAAAAAAAAGACTGTCATTCATACCATTCACACCTAAAGACTGAATTTTATCTGTTTTGAAAATGAACTTCTCCTGCTACACAGAAGTAACAATATGGTAGTCAGTTTTGTATTTAGGAAATGTATTGGTAGCGGGGATGTTTTCATAATTTTCAGAGATTATGCATTCTTCATGAATACTTTTGTATTGCTGCTTGCAAATATGCATTTCCAAACTTGAAATATAGGTGTGAACAGTGTATACCAGTTTAAAGCTTTCACTTCATTTGTGTTTTTTAATTAAGGATTTAGATGTTCCCCCTATTACAAACTGGTTTTAAATATTGGACATAATAGCAGTTTTAATACCTGCTTTGCATTTTCACACATGGTCAACTGAGACATGTAAACTTTGATTGTCAAATTTTATGCTGTGTGGAATACTAACTACTTTATGTATTTTAACTTAGTTTTAATATTTTCATTTCTGGGGATAAGGTCTTTTTTCACTTCTCATGATAGCTGTTATATATGCTAGATCTTTATATACAGAAATATCCGTACTTGAACAAATTCAAAGCACATTGGTTTATTAACCCTTGCTCCTGCATGGTTCATTAGGTTCAATTTATAATTGATTCACAATTTTAATTACATTTACTTTTAAAATATGTCACTTTCCTGTTTTAAAAACCAATCTAGACACCTTACTGGTGAAAGTTGTTTAAGCTACTTATTGTTGATAGACACATACTGTCAAGTGAAGTAGTTTTATGGGTGTTGGGTTTTTCCTCCTCCAGTAGGGTGGGTGGAACAAGTTAATTTGGCTAATGCGTAATATTTAAACTGCTCTGTAAAGTAAGTGACCGCTCAGTATGATTTGTATGTGTGAAAGGTCCCGAATCAAAATTGTACATCCATAATCAACCCTTCAACCCTTGTTCTAAAGAAACCAAAGGGCACTGGTTAGTATGGTAAGTGGGGGGGTATGTTAATTTTTGGAATTTGGAAAGCAGACAGCTTTACTTTATAAGGTTGGAACAGCAGCACCATCCATGAAATACAAACCAAAAATTTTACTGTTTCTGAATTTCCTATATTGCTATTCATTTTGGTCTCAAGTTGATAGATTCCACAGAAAGTGATAAGTATCTTTTACCTCTTCCTCCGTTAGAAAATTAGGTTAATAATGGATTTCTTGATCGAGAGCATCACCACTGACTAAAACATACATGGAGAGAATAATCAAACAGGCTTTCTAGGACCTTTTTTTTTTAAGTCTTCTGCAACACTTATTGATAAACAGGAAAGGGGTTTTATTTACAGTTTTGAAGATCTTTTTGTCACTATTATTAGTAATTTTCTATCTATGGTAATGTCCAGTTTTTAAAATACTTTATGATTTAAGACTTTAAATCATAAAATGTCTGTTTAGCTGATTAGTTCTCCCCTATACTTCTAAATGAGAAATTGTACAGTACAAGTGTTGTTCATTGGGATTAGATTTATTAACCTAGTTACCTACTAGTTTGACATCTTAGGAAGGAGGTAATTGTTTTTTTTTAATGATGGATAAACTTGTGCTGGTGTTTTGGATCTTATGATGCTGAGCATGTTCTGCACTGGTGCTAATGTTTTAACATAATTTTATATTTACAAACATACCTGCTACCCAGAGGCAAGTATTAATTTAGTCCATATGGACTTTTACCCCTCTTGAGATTGCAACATACACACTCCTAAACACACTCATACATAAGTGTGTTTAGACTTAGAAGTATCTTAACTCATTTCTGGACATGAATGTGTTATAAACCTCCTGATTTCTAGCAACATATAAAAAAACACTGCTATTAAAAACCCATCACAAGTTCTATTCATTGTCAGCCATTGCTGGCATTCTGTCACTAGAGAATACACAGCAATATCTGGTATGTTGCAAGCTTTCAAGATAGCTTGGAATTTAAAAGTTGGTCCATTAGTTGTATCTGATGGATGTAAATTTGCCTCCTAGTTCACTTTGTGTCAAGAGCTAAAACTGTGAACCTAACTTTCTCTTATTGGTGGGTAATAACTGAAAATAAAGATTTTATTTTCATGCTCACTTCTTAAAAGTCATAAAAACAATCAAATAGGAGCCCATTTATCGTCATGTGTTTTCTGACTATGTGTGCACCCCCAAGGGTAATGCTCATATTTCTTTTTTCCTCCTTAAACTTAGGTTTTGTTTATGTGGGTTGTTTATTAAACTAGGCTGTCAACATTTGGGAGGGATACCTATTTTAATTATAATAAGAAAGTTCTTATAAAATGAATTTCAAGGACTGACAAGACAATTGGCATTTCTTTTCAGCAAACCATGTTTTTGAGTGTGAAGGTTAACCATACTGAATGTCGGGGGGTCGTTTGTTTTTTGGTGGCTGATAGAATGTTCTAATGAACTTTTATCTTGATGCTTTTAAATGGAAATAATGCCAGAGCTTATATTTTTTATTAACATGTTTCCAGTTTGCATTGATGATTGGGATGAGGTCTCTTTTTTTATAATTAAATGTTTTGAGACCTGTGCGGAGTTATGAAAGATTTTAATATGTGTTGCTAGGCACTATACGTCTAAGTTTACTCAGTTTTATTTAAAAAGTGGAGGCAGGACATATATCTAGTTGTAAATACATTTGGGGCTTGTTGGTGTGGGTGTGGAGGGAGAATATTAAGTGTTCATTTTGATTGTGTTATTTTTCGAATTGCTGTAGATGGTTGTCCTGAAATAGAAAAATTTTGTTATGCTGTTAGGGAGTTGCATAGAAAGTCTGAATACGGTATATTGGATTTTTAAAATACATTTTTAAGAGCACTAGCATTATATGGAAAGAATCAACAAATAGTAAAGGGCTAAATAAAAACTTAGAAATGTGGAGCTACTAGAACTGGAATGATTTTGACTTTAAGGTAAGATCATATCAGGTATACTAATGGACATCTGTATCCCAACGTTGAAGCAATTGGTAAAGCAAATTCTCAGGCTCTCAGATGCCTGTAGTTCTACTTTGTAAAGAAAATAAATAAATGCTTAGAAAATAGATTCTAATGCAGACATTTGTAATTCTGCTGAGATTAACGTGTAAATAAATGTTTAGGGAGTCAGAACACTTACAAGCCACATCTCCAGGTTCACTGGAGAAAGCCCAGAACGTGATGACTAGAATGCTTTACAGTAGTAACAAGGCAGTAAAATCCCTAGTCAAATTTTCAGTTCTAGTAAATAGTGAGATAATCTATAAACATTGTAAAACTATCAGGTTTTATCATTGAGCTGTATGTTAAGTGGCAGCTTTCAGAAATTTGGGCTCGATATTTTGCTCGGCCTGGGTTTACCTATGACATGTTCTCTCAGCTTCAGAATCTTACTTGATGTAAGTTAGACAAATAGAGAAGTGATTGAAATAAGTCAAGCTGAGAGGAATTCATTAGATCAGTAATATGGGGAAAGGTTGTAACCTAAAGGATAAGCTTAATTTCAGAAAGTGATTAGGATATAAATTATTGAAATCATTACTAACATTGGAAATGAGTAATGAGTATCATTTAAATAAGTGCTATGTCTAAGCCAGGGGTCAACAGATTTCAGCCTGTGGCCTGTTTTTGTATGGCTCCTGAGCTAAGAATGGCTTCTACATTTTAAAAGGATTAAAAATTATTCTATAAAGATGTGTGTAGCCCACAAAGCTTAAAACATCTGGTCCTTTACAGAAAATGTTTGCTGACCCCTGATCTAAGCATCACTCTCAGGTAAACATATAAGTTCTTTTTTTTAAAAAAAAAGTTTACTTCCAGGTACAGATTAAATCACCCTACCTCCTGGGAAGTTGTGAAATTAGAAGTATTAAAAAACATTTTTTTTTTTACCCCTTACCTCTAATCAGAATAAGGGCAAGATACTTGATAGCTTCTTAGTAAAGAAGATCTTGTTATTTAAAAAATTGTTTAGCTTGCAAATTCTGAAAGCTGTTAGGAAAGTATAAATTTGCTAAAATAGTATATTTAGTGCCCGATTATAGTTTTTCACATTTAGTGGCACTTAACCACTTAGTGCTAAGATAATTCTGTTGTGCTAATTTTGACTTTTCTGTAAGATGAGAATTATGAGTATTTTGTATAGGTAAGAAAACTAATGTCTCTAACTCCATAGGTTGACTGGGGCGGGAATTAATGGCTTCTGAGAACTGCATTTCTCAGCTTAACCAGGAGGTTATCTGGGCAGAATCTAGCTTTTGTGCCATTACTTCCATCTTAAATAACGGAGTCAGTTGTTCGCTTCTGTCTTACAAAATAACTGGAAGTCAGTTCGCTTTGAAATAGAAGGAAAGAAAAGGTGAGAAACGGCCTGTTCAAGTTAGAAAATAATTTACCAAATTACATTTTTGTTGGAGATGTTAATTACATAGGTAGTGTTAAATCAGTAACATTTGTCCCTTTTGTTGCCCATTGAGGAGGGTATGAAAGTTCTATTGCACTTGAATGTGTATTCTGGCACTTGAAGGTGTACTCTTAAGTCTTGTGCTTGGAAAACATAAAAGAGATACTTGCTGATAACTAATCTGACAATTCTGGTTCATAATGGATTTTTAAAAACTTTACAGACAGTACCTAAAGTGATGAGAATTGTTCTGAACTGATCTTGCTGTGGCTTTACTCCTTAAATAGCTGCTTTAGTGTTACTGGTGTGGAAATGTGAAAAGCAAAGGCTAGTGAATATTTAGGATTTTGTTATTTGGAGAACTGAGAAGTTATTTGGGAAGTAGTTTGTTTGGACAGTATTGTTTACACTATATACAATACATAGTATAATATACACTGTTTATAGTTTACACTGTCACCTTAATTGCAATTGTAGTTGATTTCTCTTACAGATTTTAGGACCTAGAAAGAGCTTCAATTTGAAGAAATGGCACAGGTTTTCATCGACCTAGAATGGAGATTTTGTGTAAAGTGATGCAGTTGAACTTGGTTCTTGACATTGCCCAGAATTTTGTCAGATTGGATCTCAAGTTTTTTGTTAGCTGATGAATAATGTCAGAAATTATGGGAACTTTTACATGTTGAATTCGTTGTTTCACACCTTGGGTGTAATACTCTATAGTGAAATGTTACTTTGTTTGGCAGCCATACTGACAAAAGTTAGATGAGCACATGTTTAGACATTTTGTCAAAGTGCTCAGGAGTTGACTAAACACATCAACGAAGATGGTAGAATCCTCCCCACCCCCCAACACTATTTCATAGCTGAAAATGTGTAGGCTTACATGACTGGCAAAATGAACTAAACACAGAAAACCTTTCTGTTTAGAGATACAGTGGTTTGTCTTTTCTGTGGAAATTCTGAATTTCCAGTGAAGCTTCCACATTTTTTTTTCCCAGTAAAAGAGGAGGACCTTTTCCTAAAAACTACAGATAATTTGGTTTCAGCTTGATCTTGTGTACTTGTCTATCAAGGCTTCACTTAGGTGCTACAGTTGTAGTAGCTTCTTAACTATGCCATGGAAGACTGAATTGGATAAAACTACTTTTCATGCAGGTGTCCATTGGTCACTAATCATATGAGGAAAATCAGCATACCCAGCCACGTATATTGTGTGTGCTTCAGACCACTGTGTTTTGTTCATAACAGTATCCCTTGAAGATTGAGTGGCACTTTGTCACTGTATTGACAAAATCCAGTAGATGAAAGTGTTTAACATTGAACAGTTGGATTGGCCCACCCCCACTCAGCCCCGCATTTTGAGTCAAATGGTAGAGCTGGAAGTCACGTTGACAGAAATAGAGAAGTGCTTTGGAGGCTGTATGATACCAGGTGAAAATATTTGCTTGAAGAACTTAAATAACCAGCACCTCAATTACAGCAAAGCATGGATGTTCCCCTCACCTTTTTTTTCAGGATCATCAGTTTCTTGCTACTTAAGAGTTAATTAAACTTTAAAAATAACTGCAGATTTTTAGAGGAAAAAGTTTGAAGAGTATCTGTAGCTTGAGAAATTACTGACTTAATTATCCTTTCTAGTTATTTTATCTATTTTAAGTATGTCAAAAGTGGGGTGGTTTTTTTCTTTTAAAAACCATCTATACAACTGCTCTGAAAGCTATCCTGCCATAGACCAGAGGGAGTCTAAAGGGAGTGTTCATAGGTATGCAAAGGAATCCAGTCATATGCAGTTGTTAAAGTGAAAGGAGAGAAAACTTAGAAAACTAGTATTTTCTACAGTACTGTGAAAAGGCAAATGGTCTTTTAACCCCCTTTGTGATGGGGTAAAGTAAGATTTCTGCTTCTAAATGAACTCTTGTGACATCCTATTTTCACCTTGAGAGATTTTTTTGTCTAGGGATGAGGGTCTCCAGGCTCTTTGCTTTGAATAGCACAGGAAAAACCCTCTAGTTAACACAGGCTACATTCTCAGCTAATGTGCAGGAGGATATATAGCTGACATTTTAGTAAGTGAATTAGATTTTGTTTCCTAAAGGAACAAGTGTGTTTCGTTACTAATAATTTCTATCCAATTTCAGAAGAATGTTTTTGCAGTTTTCTGAACTTGCGAAAATGTTTCGGCTTGTGGGTGTTCTACCTTTCTGGTGAAAATTCAGGGCCTTTGAAAACAATTTAGTCTCTGTGAGAATCTCATAACAGCTTTTATAAGTATTTCATTGGGTCCAATTACCTATGAGTAGCAAAATATGTGAAATTGGAAAAGGGAAGTTACTACGGGCCTCACCTGACATTCTCTTGCCTAGGCAAGGCCCAGATCTCTTGTGGAAGAATTCCGTACAGTTGTGGAAATTGACAAGTGGCCAGAATTGATGTAAAGGAACCCCAAGGTAGCACATAATAGGTTTGTATGTTTCTTGGAGATTCGGAGCCAAATTAAGAATGGTTTTGCCACTTGTAAATAAAAGAAAGGACGATTAACAAAATGTGGAGCCAATTACCATAGAATGAAGGAAAGGCATTTATGTTTCAACAGTTCATACAAGCAACACAATTGAGTCAAATGCAGCCCTACTTTTTACTTAACAAATAACCATGTTTGGAAAAAATCAGGTAAGTTGGATGGG